TCCAGACATTTGTCTCCCCTACAAGCTTGAAACTCCTTGAATGAAGGGCAGTATGTATTCTTTTTCATCCCCAGCATTTAGCACAATGACCAGTACTTAGGAGACAGCATGTAGATAGTTATCAAATGAATGAATAAATTCATTTCATACATCAATATATATACAGACATTTATGTATATCTTGATTATAGTATGAGTTAGAAGTGGGTAGACCTGTTTGTTGAGCACGTGTTCATATTCCTTAGAACCCTTGGTTGCTTAAATACCTGAATGATGGAATATGCCATCCGATTTCCCAAACATGGCCTTTAAGGTTCATTAGTTCTTCTCTACAGACAGAGCTATATCACAGCAGCTAAGGCAGAGTCAAGAGTGGCCAGGGTTCTTCCGAATCTGTATACCTAGATCAGGCCCCACTGCCAGGAATGAGCGCAGATGTGTTGACTAGAGGTCTAGGTGTGACTTGCCTGCATCAGGTGGACAGGTGTCTCCTGTGGACAGTCAGAAGTCTCACCCCATGCTTGCAGAGGGAGGCAGGTGTAGGAGGGACAGGGGTGCCAGAGGCATGCTGGCAGAGGAGCCAACATACAAACTGAAGTGTGAGAATAACTGGGAGACTCTCAGCCAGTTAGACTGGATGAGAAGGTCAGAACAGGGCCAGGAAGCAGAGGCAGACACGGTGCAGTTCCTAGGTGGAGAAACTGCCAAAGCAGCAGACGAGGTGGGTGAGGAACACTTTCCAAAGGGACACACTAAGCTGAGATGTGCTTGTGCCACACGCCACCACTCACTCTTGTGTTCATTCAACAAATACATATTGAGTGCTTAGCTTGTGACTGCCACTGTACAAATGCTAGTGATACGACTAAATCCTACTGACATATGGACAGATGATTACAGCACGGTGTGATGTGTACTGAAATGGGGTAAACACAGGGAAGTCTGTGGGGACACATGACTGAGCCTAAGATGAGATGTGGTTAGCAAGGCGAGGCAGGAAGAGCTCTAGGAATGGCTGAATATGCAAAGACCCAAGAGCGGAGCTTATTCAGGGACTGCAAATACTTAGCTGTAGGTGGGCCTCACCTGCCATGTAGAGGGGTCCAGACTTTCTCCTGGGAATCACTGAAGTATTTTGGTCAAGGACTGACATGATTGAACTTGTGCTTTAAAAATGTTACTACAACAAAGTGTGGAGAATGGTTTGGAGGAAAGGATATCAGGGGCCCGTGGAAGCTGTTGCGGTAACTCACTGAGAGATGACAGTGGCTGAATTAAGGCTGAGGCAGTGAAAACAGACACGAGCAGATGCATTCTTGAGACATTTGAGAGTTAGAGTGGACAAAGCTTGGTGATTGATTGTACATTAGATGTAATCAATCAGTCAAGGTGGGAACAGTTCCTGGCTCAGTCACCTGATGGATGGCTCACTCTGGAGGCATCTCCAAAAAGAGGAGAGGATGTGTCAGTTTCAGGAGAGTTCTGGTTTACTGGGAGACTTAAGTCCAAAGGTCCATTTGGCCTCACACCCCTCTCTCAGGATAGACAGGCCTCCTTTATGAGCTTCATGGTATCTACTATCCGTAATCATATTTTTATAATAATATGTATTATGTAATATCAGCACAAGTCTGATCATGTCATTCCTTGATCAAAATATTCCAATGATCCCCAGGAGAAAGTATCTAAATGTCTTAATGGTATCTAATAAGGATCCTTACCCACTTATCATTTATTCATCCATTCAGTCAACCAATATTTATTAAATATCAATTTTGTGTCCATAGCATCCCAGTATCCCATAATTTCCAGTGTTCAACCACACAGGGTGGCTCAGTTCTTCTTTTTGTTTTCTTCTTTTTTTTTTTAGCTTTATTGATGTATAATTGACAAATAATATTGTAAGATATTTGAAGTGTGTGTCATGATTTGAAATACGTGTACATTGTGAAATGATTCCTCCTACCTAGTTAACATATCCATCACCTCACATATTTATTTATTTTTTTCTTTTTTGGTGAGAACATTTGTTTCACTCCTTTAACAAATTTCACTTATACAGTACAGTGTTATCCATTATAGTTACCGTGTCATACATTAGAACCTCAGACATCTTAGAGCTATAAGTTTGTACCTTTTTGCCAACCTCTATTTCCCCCACCTTCCTGTCCTGACAACCACTCTTCTACCCTCTGTTTCTATGAGTTCTACTTTATTTTTCTTTTCACATTCCACATATAAGTGATTTCAGGCTGTATTTGTCTTTCTCTCTCTGGCTTCACTTAGCATAATGCCCTCCAGACCCATCCATGTTGTTGTAAATGGCTCATGACTGAATAATATCTCTTTATATATTGTCTTACATTATATTAAATTATATTATATATAGTATGCTACATCTTTATCCATTTACCCACTGGCAAGACACTTGAGTTTTTTCCATACCTTGGCTATTGTGCATAATGCTTCAGTGAACATGGGGGTGCAGACAGCTCTTGAAAAAAGTGCTCCTGAAAGTTAGAACCACAACTCTAAGTTTGCAGCAGGCTTTCCCAGGGAAGCCACTCCACCTCATCGTACATGTTATTGCTTGAGTTGCCAGGTGCTGCTTTAAAGGAAAGCATTTCCTCACTTCCTATTCCCATGGTTGCATTAAATTTTTCTCTCTTTAGTATCTTCTCCATAGACTGAGTCTTTGATACAGAGTTTTGAATTGAAGAGAGGCTAAACACTTTACAGAAAACCCCTAATAAGTTGTTTTATATGGCCAGAGGCCTGGAAAGTATTTTCTAGGCTCCAGAGTTTTATGAGCAATTCTGGGGCTTCCTGTGGCTGAAATGATGGTGTTGGAGTTTCACTAACACATGTGACTGATTGAAGTGTTCCTCGAAATCTTCCTGTTTGATGCAATTTCATTTCACATTTTGTGCTTGGCTTTCCCAAGCTGAGGTATGAAATTTAAGCATCAGAGAAACCAGCAGAGTCTGCAGGTTCAAGTTAATACAACCCTCAACATGAACCTCTATGCTTCAGACTAATGAAATAAAATGTCTGGTGGTGAGAACCTACTCTCATACATCCAGAAGAGATCACCTTGCAAATCTGCTTCCTGGGGGCCAGTGGATGCTTAGGCCACTGGGCCAAGAGGGCTGGGGAATAAAACACTCTCCAGTTAATCAGTAAAGCTCTATTTTTGTCAAAGTTATTAGAATCTGCAACTTCTCATGGATACTGCTGTATTACAAGTCTATTGTAAATAAATGTTGCTTTTTAAGGACTTGTATTATTGTTAATGCTATTTCATAATCAGTAAAGATACAAGATGAATATTCAGTTCCTTTGGTTAAATGATGATACTGGTGTGACCTTGGCCAAGGTTTGGGTTTCTATTCCAGACATGTTTTTAGTTTTGCACAGAGAACTCCAATGACAGACCACCTCTAGTCTCAATCAGCCATGTCTCATGGCTGAGGCTCATGCCTCAGTTTGCTGGTGTATAAATAACATAGCTTTCTCAGTCCATTGATGTGGGTGGATAGATGGCCTCTGTATGTAAAGCATATTATTATAGGCTGCCAGTCTTGGAAGATTGGGCAGGCCTTTGACAACATCTAGTCTTAATTCCTTCACTTAAAGTTGAGGAAATTAAGCCCAGAGGGTGTAGTGGCTTCCCCAAAGTGACCCAGTTAGTGCTAGAGTCAGGGCTAAAATCTGGATTTATCAATGAATTCAATGTTTTTATGATAGCATTGTGCTATATCCACTCTGGTCTAGGATTCCCTTCTGAAACTTTCAAGTGCTTGCATTGAAAACGAATTCCTAGTGAACCAGCATCCAGTAAGTGTGGTACAATCTTTGGTACCTCCTGGTATTTTTTAGTGATTTTTGGTCATTAGTTACAACTCCCAAGAGTACCATATTGCCCTAGGCAGAGAGCCAAATAGCAACAAGTCAATCTGCCACATCTGCAATGCAGGAAACTGCCAGGGCATCTTTTAGGAAGAGTTATATTTGTTGTATTTTCAAAAATATATATGGTTTTGGAAGGAGATTTCCACTGCTCTACTCAAGCCATCATCTTGGCTCCGCCCCTGCCAGGGCATCTTTGAACAGCATTCTAGAGATTAAATCAAGCCAGCTGATGAGATTTCTGACATGTGCATGTACTACTCACTTCATTCATGTTAGGTCAACCAGTTGCATCCAATTACTCAGCCATGTCCATCAGAAGGCCTGCTACACACAGAGCGTTATGAAGATCTCTTTGTAACATGGGCGAAAGTTTGGGCATGAGTTGGAATAGACCCAGATACAGTTTATAGTTAAGATTCCCCAGGCTGGGCTTAGGCACAGCCAGTGGGGTGACCTTTTTATGAAAGCTGAGAGCTCCCGTGGCCTGTGACTTTCTATCATGGTTTTCAGAAGAAAATGGAAGATTAATTTGCATGGCCCTCCTTGGCCCTGGGATTTTCCTTTAAAATAATATTTATGGCGTACTTTTTTTCAGATCATAAAAGTAATTCATGTTTACTGTGGGAAATGCAGAAAATTAAAAAGAAAATAAAAAGCATTTGTATTCCAATACATTGGCAGCTACTTCCAAGTTTTTTGTTTAACATTTTCCAGCCTGCATTTTAAGCATCTATAGAAAGCTGTATCGACTTAGGAAATTAAGATTCTAATGGATCCTACCCTGAAATTCTAGGAGTCTATAAAACATGCAGAACTGAACCCAGTAAGTTTCAAGTTTCTTGCCTAAAGCCTGGCATGTGATAGTTGCTCCATAAACATTTGTTAACTGAATGGAAAGTTCATGGACTTGAACAGCATCATCGGAAGATCTCCCACTCGGCCATGCTGGAATCCTGACAACAGTCTTTGCATGCTAAAGAAACACAATAAACTGAACCTGACTACTTTCCTTCAAGAAACCTTCCCCCTTCCCAGGAGAGCATCAATAGTAATTCATCTTCCTTTTTTGTGCTCATTATTTATTTCAGGATATTCCATTTGATCTGAGAGCTGCTCATACAAAAGACTTGCTGGAAGCATGGACCTCAGTGAAAAATGTCCTTTGGAGGACGGAACCTGGTTGCCCCATGCTGGAATGCATCACTTTGCCAACACCACAGGGGGTATGGCTGCTTTTGATGTCCCTGATACACGTGGTCCTCTTCAACTCCTGCTCTCACTGGGTCAACCCAGCTGTACCCAGTATGTGCCCAGTGCTGTTTATCTTTTCAAAAGCAGCCGGGTGGAAAGGAGAGGGCATGAACTTGGGAGTCAGACAGACCTGGGTTCATATTCCTGAATTTCCTATTTATAGCTATGTGGCCTTGAAAAAAATCTATCATTTCCTCAGCTCTAATAGGAGAGTAAGACTGCCTACTTGCAGGGCCGCGATGGGGACCATGAGTAACGCAAGCTGTTACTTACTTAGCCCCCACCCTAGTCAGGTTAGGAAGGCAGTGGTACACCTGTGAGCACCTAACGTGTCACGCCCTGTATTCCTGCTTATCTTGTCTCCTCTTCTCTCTTCTCAACAGCCCTGCAAGGACCAATGTTGAGAATAAGGCAACCAGTGCAAACAGAGTAGGTCAGCTCACCTTCCCTTCTTTCTCCTCATCCTAGCCTCTGATTAAGGCAATTCAGCATCAAATGATGGGGCTGTTGTTACTTTCCTGGAGTCAAGCATACAAATGTGAGAACCATAATCCTGACACAGATCTTGAGGTCCTGTGTCGGGTCTATGAGTCCACCCCTCCCCATCCCCAAATCTAAAGATCTGCTTTTAGTGGGAGGAGCCATCCTATGGATGCGGACATCAAAGGCCACTGAGGTTAATACATTCACATGATGTTTTTGGTGAGAGCATGCCTCCCATCTGTTTGTTGTTTATTCATTCATTCAACAAACATCATTGAGCCTTTGCTATGTGCCAAGCCCTGGGAACACAAGACAGAGAGAGCAACACAGACATGGAGATCAAGAGACCACACTCTCTCACTCTCTACTGTGCCCCATCTTTAAAAGGGGGTAACTTGTGCAGCATCAAATTAACTGAGTTTTGCAGTGCACTGGGGTATGTCTTCCAACCAAGAACTACCGTACACAATGGGAGATTCCCACAGGGAAGGCTGAAGCTCTGAGGAAGGAAACTGGATGCAGCCCACACAAAAACCAAGAGCTGTGCACCCCTGTGCCCTGTCACGCTGCCACTCTAGCCACTTTCAGGCAGTTCTTAAGCCAGCAACTCCTGACAGCCCATGGAAAAAGTGGAATCTCCTTAGCTAACCACACTGCCCCTCCTGGTCTGACCTCTGCCTGCCTCTTCAGGCATTTCTGGTTGCTCATTACTAAGACAAGCCCCTTCCATCGCCATGTCAACCTACCTCTGGATTGTCGAATATATCGTGCTCTCGCACGCCTGTGAGCCTTTGCAAAGGCTGTTATTACCATCTGCCTTCCACTCGGCAGATTCCTATTCATCTTTGAAGCTTAGGTCATCTATTCTGGTGCCTCCCAGATTCCTGTGTCTCAGCTCTTAACCACACCGTATGGTGACTGTCCCTGTCCTGGGCAGCCTGGGAGCTTCTGGAGGCGGGTGTCCTGTTTTATCCTTCTCTGCATCCCTTCCACAAGTAGCCTGGAGAATACTTGTTCTATATTTGATGGCTGACTGGCTGGAGGGCTGGATGAATGAATGAATTATGGGTAGGACCACATCCTTTGCATATCTCTGCCTTCACTGTGAGCCTGTACAACGGTGGCAGCCTAGCTGGTTGCACACTGCTTCCGGCACGCCGCATCACTCCATCATGCTTTCTGCACACCTACGGCCCCTTGTTCAATACTCCAGGCTTGTTCACCAAACTTGAAGGGAGAGAACAGAAAGGAAATAGGTGTGGCTGATCTGCTGGTTACTTGTGTAACCTAGACAACAGAACCATCCATCATAGAATTTTAGAACTGATAGCAGCTTTCGGGATCACTGTGACAAAGGGGTGGCTAAACACTGCTTATTGTGACCAGCTCCACACACTACCACATTCCTCCTGTGGGTTTTCCAAGTCATGGATCTTCAGGCTGCGGAGCAGGGCTGGCTAGCAGGAAGAGGAACCAGACTGTGTCTTAGATCTGCCGAATGGGGAGGCGCTGTTCTCTAGTAAGTGATGAGCTTCTGGGGCTGACGGAGGAGCCTGATTCTGCTGGGCGACAGACACCACAACATCTGGTCCCGGTTCAGACGATCAGTGTGTGACGATGAGGCGTATGGTGGTGTTGTGGTATGCAGGTGAAGCACAGGGACAAGGGATCCGTGTGACTGAAATTTGAAAATCTTTTGGGCAGCTGGTGTTAGAGTGGTTCTCAGGGGCATGGGCTGGGGTTCAGGGAAAGGGCCCAGACCCTAAGAGGATAAGGTAGAGTGCCAAAAGGGGCGCCTGGAGAAGTCCTGAAGTGGGGTGAGGAATCCTCCACTCAGAAGCAGAGTGGAAGGCCTGCTGTGTCAGAGCTAAGTCGGAATTGGATGAATTACCAAAGCGTGTTTGTAATCATTTGTTAGGTATATTTACTGCACCAGACATTATGCTAAACCCTTTTGGTACAGATATAGAATGTCTCAGTTCAATAACAACCTTATTCCTGTTTTATGAATGAAGAAACTGAGCCTGAAGAAGCTGGGGAAACTGTGCAAGGTCATTCTGCTGGTAAATGGCAGAGTGGGGATTTGAACTCAGACCTGCCTGACCCCAAATCGCTGCAGGCTGGTGCTCCTCAATCCCCTGTCCTGCACTCCTTACTCTGCCTTCACCGTTTAAGGCTCCTGAGGTCCAGTCACAGATTTTTATTGCTAGTTATTTTATTGTCACAATAGAAAAGAGATCTAGCTTTGAGCAGGGTCAGAAAATAAACAGTGCTGCTGCAATGTGTAGACTACCATCCAAGACCCTCCTAGGGCCACTTCAGCTAATGCCTGGCCACTGCCTTGACCTACCTACTTCTGAACATCTTTCCTGCATGCCCCATGCCCGTCCCTCCTCTCCCACCACTGGCTAGTACCAGCAGCTCCATCTCTGAGGCTCAGTGTGGATTTATGGGGGTTACACTTCTAGTGAAGTACCAGTGAAAGTCCTGGAAGTGTCTGGGCCTTGGGGTTTTGTTCTTGGCCTCATGGAGTCCTCTGAGAACTGTGTTATCTGCCAGGGAGGCTCAGTCATCCTGGTGAGTCATAGACCTTGAGGCAGGGCCAGATCCACTCAGCATCTGCCTTCGTGTTATCCTCAGAGCATCTCAGGCTGCCATGAGGGCGGGACAGCCTCGAGGAAGCTGGCTTCGGAGAGCCCAGGATGTCTGGGAGTGATATGGAGTTTCTGGAGGAAAGTCCCTCTGCCACTCCCACTTCCTCCTCTCCAAAAATACCCTCAAGGACCTGCGCCAGTGGTCTTTCAAACTTATTGGAAAGATCTGGAACACATTTTTCAAAGGAACTTGTGTGCAGTGCCTGGCACATAAAACAGAAGGGGGCCAGTGTTTGGCCAGGGCCCTGTTTCCAATCGTTGCATCACCAGGCGCTCTGGCTCTCCTTTGATTTGCCAGCTGCCACATCATAGGGGTGGGGAGCTGGTGCAGGAGGGGAGGCTTCCTCAGCCCTTCTGGGTGAATCTGCCTAACACGTCTCCTTCCTGTTACAGATGAGCTCACTCAGCTATTAGTGAATCCTGTTGTCATTTACTCTCCCCAGGGGACTCAACACGCTGCAGCTCCTCATCAGAGGGGAGGCAGGAAGTCTGGGAAGCAGAACCTGGCAGCGGAGGCCAGGTGTGCTGTAGAAATTCAGTGGTGCTGTTCCCAGTATGGTTGTGAAAACAGGAAAGAGCAGATTTCCCCTCTGGTGCCCCTCAAGATCAGGGAGCATTTTAACATCAGTCAGGAAGGAAGGAAAGCAGGAAATTTTTCTGAGGGCGCTCTGTGTGCCAATCACTCCAGGGACATTACTATTTAATTTTGTTCAAATCTTCGTTGAAATGTCATCAAGAAGTTATTATCTTCGTTCTGCAGATGAGGAAACTGAGTCTTAGGAAGGCAAGACAATGAAGCTGAGCTCATACAGCAAATGCCAGCAGAGCTCATGCTCAAACTCAGGTCTTATCCTCCAATGCTACGATGTGTTCGTTTTGCTTTGCCAGTTCGAAAGGGCAACACTATTGGGCATCTCCACCTTGCGGTGAAACTTTTTGTCTATTTCTCTTGCATATGGTGTGGTAGAAATAATAATATGATGGAATCTATTATCCACCATCTCCTATTGGTATTTGTTTTAACAAGTTTCATAAAGGTATTTCCATTCTACAGAGAAGATTGCAATCTAGGCAGGTTTGGAGACTAATAAAAGATTAGCGGCAAATCTAGGGCTGGAACCCAGGCCTCTGCCTCTCCTTCCAGCATTTATATTATGTTGACTGCTAAGGCCTCCTTCTTGGAAAAACTATTTTAATTGGAAAGAAGAGAGGCCCCCCCATGCAGCCCAAGAGGACTATTTACAGTCTCCAAAAGAAGAGATTTCCCCTCAGGACTCTGTCCAGGAGGCTGGGGTAGAGAATGAGAGATCAGGGTGGTCTCTGCATCTCAGCAGAGACTCCCATTCATCCTGTGGGTTTCTTTTTCAATGGGTTTGTCATAGATTTCAATTGCAGCCAATGCTTTTGCCCTTAATTTTAACACAGGGTGTTTGATCCGATTTCACTCTGTAGATCTAAGTATGAATTGGACGTGTCTGATTTTCCTATGCAGAGCCCTTTTCTTGCGTTTATTTTTGGAATGGTTCTTTATTCTGATTCATGTCCATATACACCTTCGAGTAGTTTCTTGGCTTAGCCAGAGTTTATTCCCTTCAATATGAGTGAGGAGTCCTAAATCTTTATCTCTGTTCCATACTTGGTAACAGGAAACCTAGGGGGCTGCACAGATCCAATTTGTTTATATATAGTTCATAAAACACCTTGCTTTTGTTAATAGCATCTACTGCATTGGTACTTGAATTTTACAGAAAACATATTTGACATTTAGCAAAATGAATCCTTGGCTTCCTATCATACTTAATAATCATATTATCTTTTGGCTTGTATTGTTTCTG